CACTAAATTCCCATTGATTCAGTGGGTTTACTCTAGCTGTGTATTACTATGAGATTGCCTCCAGATAGGCCTCTCCTATATAGCTCTATCTCTGTGTGTGTTTGTGTCTGTGTGGACTGCAGGGCCTGGCTTGCTTGGCCCACTAGAGCCAATCTCATAAGGCAACTGTCAAGGGCCTTCCCTCTTGATCAGATTGCTTGTTTTTCATGTCCTTATTCAAATGCATTGGGATGATATGGGGCTGAGGACTTGCCAGATTCCTCAACTCTTTTCTGCAGGGCCTGAAAGGCTGAGGGCAGCTTTGTAGTCAGGAAGTTGTGGATTCTGGACTATGGTCTTAAGCATTCCTGTCCTAACTAATGATTGCATGAGTTCAAAATGGGGTAAAGTTAAGCAAGGTGCATTAGAGACTCCTCTTGCTTATATCTCGTCCTATGAAAAGCTAGGCTAACCCTATTTTTGCTGCCCTTCCACAAGCAGGCAAAGATCTTTCTGTTCAGGCAGGGTTTTCCTTAGTGACTGGCAGCCTGAAATTTTTTTAATGGATTGTTGTGCTCTCTTATTTTTAATTATGTTTTTAGTATTGATTTTATTGACCATTTAAAATATAATACTTCTTTAATTCTTTTTTAATATTTGTAAACTCACTGTGTTTAACTTTTAAATATTGTGTTTTAATCGTTGTAAGCAGCCTCAGGCCCTTTTAAGGAGGAGGGTGGGGTAAAAATATTTTAAATTAAATAACTAAAGTCCTAACCAAGCAACATCACTTATCGTGACTCCTTTCACAATATAGATAGAGCTTTTAGAAAATTAAACTTCAAGTATCCACTAGAAAACACGCATATGGCCCTATTTCTGTAGGCTTTGATTTGGCCCCTGGATGGATCTGAAGGTAAATTGGGAAGGAATCGTCTTTACTTATTGAAACCCATGCCCTGGAGTTCCTACAGCTGCCCGTACACGGAATAACCTCCTTCGGTGTAAAAAGAGCCTCGCTCGTTTCTCTCGGGCTTAAGGGCGAGGGGGACATACTACTGACATTCTCATCGAAGTTTTTCTCTGTGGACATGAGTATCCGGGGGCTCCACGTTCCTCGGGGCAGAGGAAGCAGTCAAAGACAGGGGCTGGTGTTTATCAGAAGACAGGCACGTCCAGGATCGTGACCACGAGGCACGGGATCTGAGCTAGCCTATTCGTTATAATCAAAGCCAACGCCCTTGATTTCCTTTCTAAACTTTGCAGTTTAAGACTGGGAGCAGAGGCACCTAGGCCTCGATCCTACACGTGTAGATTCAGAACAAGGAAGGCACCAACATCAGGGGAACCTGCGGAAGACTCTTAAATAACATTTAAAACCGAGAGTCTTTACTCTGGAGTAAATTTACCTGAACAAGCTGGGAGACGAAATCTGTCTCTCTCGCGCTGTGTAGACCTACTTAGGATTTCGGGCTGAGGCTCTTAAGAAAGGGCCAACCGGGCGAAATCCGCCTTATTGACGAAGGACAAACTGGACCCGACCCGAAGATTTCAGCAGGTGGAGGCGCGCCTAAATCCACCGCGGATCGGGCGAGCAAGAGTGCGCCCAACGCCGCATAGCTGGTTTCCATGGGACATTGGTTTTCTTTCACGTCTCTTGAGGTCCCCCCAACATTCTTATGGGGGAGGTGCCGGAAAAATGATTCTGAGGGGCCAAAAGGCTATCGCCGAGACCCCGACAGTTCACAGGAAAAGCCGTATTAGGCTGCTACAGGAAGAAGGAGGACGAACCTCGTGGCACTTTATAAAGTACAATCTTCTCTATTTACTCAAAACTCGGTCCCATGATATTCAGCGCCGCTGAATCGCAGCCAAGAGCTCGTAGAATGGCAGCCTCCGGCACACTTACCTTGGAGTAAGAGAATTTAATACAATGGGACTTCTAAGTAAGCATGCGTAGGATTGGGCAACGACAAGTTGGTTTGTGACACAATCTCCAGAGAAAGGCTTTTCCTGCTGAAGCTACTTAAAAATAATCCTTAACTCAGGGTGTAAATGCCATTGAAATCAGTGGAATTAACTTTGGAGGAGACACGCATGGCGTCGCACTGTGAGGAGGGGATAAAAATCCATCAGCAGTTGCAAATACCTGTAATATGATTGCTGCAGCCACGCATGATTTCAAACTAACGTCTCTTAATTTTCATAAATATCTTCCTTCTCCTCTTCCATTGAGATGACCATTTTCTTTAATAAAAATCCCCATACAAATCGAAAACAAAACTGGATCAAACATAGGGCTTGATCTAGTTTTGAAGGCTCCTTAATTCCCTGGGTTTGCAGGTGCTCAAAATTCCTGCCCTAAAATAAATGATACCTGGGATTCTCAAGCATGCACAGACTCTGCTTTGCCTATACCTGTGATCGAAAATGAATCTACAGTATTTGCCAAGCTGGGGCCCATAAAGTTCTGGCGCGGATCCTCAGTGGACGATCGTAATTATTGCAACTCTTTTCATACGAAACACTGGAAAGGTTACAGAGTTCTTTAAAAAAACCCGATGAAAAAGGAGGTTTCTAACATCTATCTGCATATCAAATCCCATTGCTGCGCTGGACTATCTGCATATCATTCTCATTACTGCGCCCCGTTGTAATTTAGGACAGTAATAAAGGAACCTATATGCACACACACACAGAGGCCACATCTGTTTTCTCTTTAAATCTCTTCATTGATCACTGTTTTTCGGTCAGTGATTAATCCCTGTCAGTTACAGTGGCAAAGGCCCACAGGTACAATCCCTCTGTATATCTATATTTATCTTTCCCTTTCTGATCGCAGAGTTTTAAGGATTCCTACGTGAATGTCCGATCTCGTCTTTCCAGAGGAAGCAACACTAAGCGTATGTACGCACTTCTTTGTTTCAGGGGAGACCACAGTATGTGGAAGCCCTCTCATGTTAGGTCATGTTAGGCGAGGGAATAAAATAAAATAAAAATCCCCTAATTTCAATAAATTGTATCCAAATGTCACTGGACCAAAAAATTAAACCCAAACTGTAATAAATCCCTTTCCTAAAATTGCATTTGGAACCCAAAGGGGGCAGGAAAGATTTTTTTAAAATAGTTCTTCAAAGGGAAAGTCAACATGAAATATGATTATGCAGGGAAAATAGCCAGACAAAAACCCCAAACAAAACAAAAAATAAATAAATAAAACACAAACACATTTTGGCACCTTAAAGACTAACTTTTACGTGTGGATGTAAACGTTCATAGAATAATGTACATTAAACAAACAAAAAAGCTTATATTGTATATGAGAACAATAAATGTAAAGTGTATATTTCATACACACTAAGAAAGAAAAAAAAATCCTGAAAGAATCTTTTCGATTTATTTCTGACATCTCCAAAATGGGAGCTAACCTTTTGATCTCGAAAATGGAGATCATACACGCTAGAGGTTCAGAAAAAAAAAAAAAAAAAAACGATCCCTCCCTTCCCACCTCCCAGGGAGAATTGTGAGCCACTTTCACATTTACAGGGTTCGTTTACTCCAATTTGCACCTCGGCAAAGTACAGCACTCTTTTGCAAAGCCCCTACAGATAATCAACAGTGGTCTGTCACACAAGACTAAATTTACTAACATCAGCAACAAAACAGAATTATAAAATAATCAAGATTGCTTCGGTATGCAAAGGCCTACATATCTGGGAACAGAAAATAAAGAAGTTGCCTGGATTTTTGAGGCCTAAAAACGCCTCATTTCACGCATACATATACAGATATGCTTTAATTTTTGTTCTGTGATATTTATGACTGATTTGTAATTTTATATCTCCTCTTTGGGATGACTACATGTATGGCTTAAAAATGAGTTCGCTAAATGAATATTTTCTCTCAGTGTGTGTACCTCTGTGGTTCTTCTTGGAAAATAAACGTTTGCTCTGATTTTAGCAACCATCAATAGACTGATTTAGGATATGCCTAAATATGTATTAATGAGAACAGAGATAAGCCCTCGCTGGCAAAATAAACAAAGACAACAATTACAGGCAGGCCCTGCCTTCTTTCCACTGCTCAGAATTAGTAAACAGAAGCAGGTCTAAACTTTTTTTAAAAAAATATATTTTTAAACAAAGACATTCTTACTCGAGGAGATAAATTCAAAAGTATCAACAAGGCAATTTCATAAGTGAAATTATGATAAAGGATAGTTTTAATTCCCGGAGCAGTTAGCAATTCCTCTCCCTGGGGCAAAATGTTGTACCTAGAAAAACCATTCAAAGCTCAGAGGGCCCGAAGGGAGCGAGAGAGGCAAGGAAGACCTTCTGGGACGAGGGCGCAGACCGGCGTTTCCTTACCTGCTGTCGGCGGAGGGAAGCGTGGCTTCTTCTTCTTCTTCTTGACGGTGAGGGTGAGCGAGCAGGGGAGAGGCCTGCGCCTCCTCCTGAGAAGGCTTCGGATGAACTTGACCAGGAGGGGCTTCAGGAAAGGCGGCAGTCTCCGCGGCCGAGCGCAACGGATGGCGCATTTGATTCGCACCCCCATGCCGTTTCTCCCCAGGCTTCACGGACCAGAGAGCCAAGCGCGCATGGCCAGCTTGCTTCTGCACGGGTGGTGCGAGAGCTCCTCGTTACGTCATGTGGTGGTGGGGGGGGGAAGAAAAGCGAGCGAGCGAGAGAGAGAAAGCGGGGAGGGGGCGCTGCCCACGGCTGGTTGTCGATTTCTGCGGCAAACTGACTTCGGGACTTGGCAGCCTGCCAGAAGGTTTGGCCAAGGCACGAAGGAGCGGCTCCTCTTCCGCGCGCGCCCCCCTCCCCCCTCCTATCCGAAGTGGCTTCATACTAGATGGTGTCAATACTAAAGAGGAAGCAACAACTGTTAAAGGAGATCCATCCGCGCGCGCCCACCTC